TTTGATGACATGTAACAAATATGAAAAAAATTCTACTCAATTACGTCAATGATACTGCGTGTTTCTTTCCACTTTTTCCCCACACGAACATTTCTTTTACTGCAAAATCTTTTCCATCTTTAATTTAGCTATCTTTTTAACCACATCCTCGTGTCTGTCGAGTTTGAAATAAATTTTATTTTCCAGAATTATGGGAATTTTTTTCATCTTTTTCGCATCTTCTGTCGCATGAGTAATTTAATAACTCACGTGAATGAAATCAAAAAGAAGAGAACATACTCCGTGTCGAAAGACAGATACGAGTACGAATGAAAAGTGAAATAAAAAAAAAGTATATAAAGAGCACGCAGAGTCGCCGCTGTCGCGAAGTTCTTGTCTTTTCATCTGGCTTTAATAATTTCCGATGCGCCGATCAAAGGAAACGTTTCCGTTGCCGGGGCACTTATTTAGTAACGGTGAATTTTCTTTTGGCCTCAATTCCCCGGTCGGACCGAAAGGCACATAGCGATTTCGTTTTAGAGCCGCGACGAGCCTCAAGAGTCTCCCGATAATAAAAATTTCCAGGAACGATGATGTTATCGTCGCGAATTCGGCTCTCGACATCCTGATGAGCGGACGAATCTCGACGTTGCTATCGTCCGCTTTAATCTGCCGCTGCCAATCACACGATTCGCTGCAGCATTGAACACCGAAGCTCTGCTCAATGCCTCGCGTGCGCTGTATACACATCCGATCGCCTTTGCGTCGGTATTCATTCGTGCATGGAGTGGCGTATTTCAATCGAATGCGCGAGGATTCGACTTTCCGCGGTTCGGGTGCGAGTACGAAACCGTCGCGAAATGGAAATTCTCGGTAATATCGAGTAAGTGAATGTAATGGAAAACTCTCCTGAAAAATGCGAGCGTAGAACAAAATGCGTAAAAGCTCTTGTTCTCAATGTAAAAAACAAAAAAAAAGGAGCAAAAGGATATTACGTATTTGTCGAATTTATGCCAACGTCGCGTATATTGCGATCATATTAATTTTATTCCCATGTCCCTTCCCCTTTCGCTGTCACCCCACATTTATGCGCTTCGCTCTCTAAACTTGATTAACAGTTGCGCAATATGCCATGCTTTACTTTGTTAGAGACAATTAGTTTCTCGAATATTAATTTCGAATAATATAGGTGCTCCGTTTCCGAGAAATCTCCGCTTGTAATATATTTGCACAATGTATTCACGTGAGAATAGTTCTAAATCATTGCTTAATAAGCTGCTCGTGTATTATGTGTAAAACAACAGACTTGTCGATCGAATGAATAAAATTTAATCATATATTGAAGCATTAGGTATCATTAGGTATCTCATTCTCTAATTGTAAGATATTAAAAATTCGACGAAGCTGAATAAATAAATAATAATATATTTATTCACTCAAAAAGCTCTGCAGTGAACAATAATCAGCGCATTAAACGTATGATAACAATATGCGTAACAATATTGCCTGACTAATAAATTATGCTAACATATATCTCTGCATATGTAAGCATGTAATAATATTTTCCTGAAGATAGTTCTGCGTCAATTAATGGAAAATTGCGAGCATATATTTGTAAAGTTATTATTGCAAATTTCTCTCTACACACGATATAGCATAAAATTCCAATTAATAATAATAAATATCTTTGTACACAATCCAGTGATTAAATAATTAAACTGAGACTTTATGGAAAGAAAATTACAATAATTATAAATTCATAATTAATTTATCTTATATAAAATATATCCTTTCAGCTTTGATACAATAAGTGATAACTACACTGGTGTGATTTACAGAAATTTTCTTTTACAACTTGCAGAAAGTGTGTCACGGACATCTTTTGAATATTTTTGATGTTTTCATCGCTCGCTATGCTAGGATTTCTGATTCGAAAACAAGTCTGCGTGTTCGATTATATATTGTATTCTCTCGATTTAGTTATAAAACTATTTTCTATTCTCGAAATTCAAAGTCCACTGAAAAGGAAACGTTTCAAAGACATCGAAGATATTCAAGAATCCGTGATAAACTCTGCAAGCAAAAGAAGATTTCCGTAAGTCGTTTCGATTATTAGTTAACCGTACAGGAAGGACGTATTTCGAATAAACTGATTTTAAATATAATCATTGTAATTTTTTTAACTAGTCTCATTGATCGCTGAACTATATATATTAAATTGCTCATTTTTAAACAATGTAATCGATATTAAAAAGATTATTTTTTATTTTATTATTTTGCTGAGACAAATTCGATTTTATGTCAATAAAAAAAGTTATTAGATTTTGAAATTCTCCTTAGCATTCTGAGCAACAGTTCCTGAGTGTTCAAGCTTTAGAGAGTTTAAAGGGATTCTCCGTGCTGTACAGTGTCACCCGTAGATGAGTATCCCGACATCTCCTAATATTGTTACAGCTTTAGAACTTTCGCGAATACTATATATATCAAACGTTACCCGAAATAGGATATATCCAAATTTAATTCTACCGAGATAGTGTAATTCGATATCCATTTATCAAAACTGTGCTAAGTCATGAATCTTGGAACAGGGGATTAAGATTCTTAAGACTTCCAATCAACAATTAATAAATCAAACGCGGGCGCTCTTAATGCTCTGAACATTGAGATAAACACGAATTTGATTTAAACGTTTATCATTTAAGAACGGGTTCGAATTGTATTAGTTGTACATTTTACATTAATTATCCGTGGCATTTATCTTTTTAAAAACTATAGATAAATATTGCGTGCCGTTTACATTCGCACCGTGTAACCGTACGCATCGTGTACGTAAAATCAATAGTTTTAATAACGATTTTCGCCAATATGTCTCTCAAATTCTCACGAAAGTCAATCACCGGGCGTCACGCCGATCCAATTCACGAGTCATCTGGCCGCTGTCGTTGAAAATAAAAATAAAAATTGTCGAGTGCTTCGATAAAACCACGTCAAAGTTAAATGAGATCGGAAGCTCTCGATCAATCGTGGCGATGAGTCATCGATCGAAACGGCCGTCCGTCGAAAATATCGGATAAACATCGCTTGGATCGCTTTCTCATCATCGGAGAATCCTTATTCACTGAGAGAAAGGTGAGAAAAATTATCCCGCTAAAAATTATGCAAAACAACGCCATTCTCCTATCTCTATCTCCTTCTCTATTCTTAAATCGCATTTTCTCGCAAGATTACGTCGCAGGCTTTGATCGGAAAGCAACGATCGAAAATTTAAAATTTCTCGTCTCTACGAGATATGCTTTTAACTTATATCTCTAGTGGAAAAAAGAGATTCGCAATTTGTATATATATCTTCGAGAAGAGCCTAGCAACGCCGCGTAAGCAAACACAATTTTCTTCCGAGGAAAAGTCGAACAAGTTTCAGCTCTCAATGATCGATTGCCAGTGACACGGCTCTTTTGGCTTTTTTTCGTGCTGCTTCCCTGCCTACTCGACCTCTCGCTTCTTCCGCCCCTTTCTCGGTTTATTATTCCCCAACAGAACGCGCTCAACCACCCGGAAATCACTCTTTCTCGTGCATTTATTGACCTATATGAGTTATCGTGCCTCTCAAATCGACGATGTACCCCTCGGATTCTTTGAATGTCCAATGATATATAGCCCTCGCGAGAGCAAGAATTATGCCAATATCTAGTCGGGAAGAGTGAAGGTGAAACTATCCGTTTCCGCAAAATGAGAAAAAAAATATTCGCGGAGATATCACGACACGAGCTTTACTCTCGGCGACGCTTTATGCCGGCACAATGGCCTCGGCAATTTGCCGCGTTGAATGCGAATGGCACTGTTCCGTGCGACATCGCCGTGCTGGAAATCGCAGTTAACCATCTCTCGATTCGTTCGACCTGATTCCGTATCGTCTAGTCATGCAGAAGATAGTTATATAGTTATTCGGTGTCAATGCGCGTGCAATTATTTACGATCATCATCGCTGATTTCGATGTCGGAGAAAATCATCATGCTCATCGACATTTTCGATACGCTGACGTCCTGCATAAACGCGACACAGCGATCACGCTGGAAGCGACGGATCGGAAATAACGCTGAACGGACAATACCTCGATGACGCAGTTAATGCAGTCTCCTGATAGTTGAAACGTTACTCTGAGTTTTACAGTCTCGCGCTCGCGTTATCGTTACACCCCCTTGCATCGATTTATCGTTTATTCTAAAGAACGATATACGCGCACTCTTTTATCGCAGCCTCGATATTCGCCACGCTACACGCTTGTCCCTGGACGTGGGCTTTTAGCTTAATGAGAGAGCAAGTCATTAAAATTTACCCGAGGCCCCCGCTTTAAGTTCGCCGCCGAATTGCGTACGCAACGTTCCCGACGTCAACGTTGACTGAATCGTAATTAAGTGCGCGCGACTTAATATAAATCGCAGAAATTAACGACACTGACGACATGATTTATAAAGAGAGAAATTACTCACTTATTAATTTTACGGATCGTCTGCTTCAGCGCAGGAAAATCCGGTCGGTCCGCGGAATCTTGCGCCCAGCATCGTCTCATTAGAGTAGCCACCTGTAAAGTAGAAATTATCTTGAAAATTTATGCCCGAAAATTCATTTTAAGCAAGGTTAATATGCAAATAATACACTTTATGATAATAATGCAGTTAATAATGCTAATGAATATGAGCCACTGACCATCCAATTAAATCTCGTATAAACATCATGGAAGTATATTAACAGGAATATTATATAAACATGTTTAAAATGTTTGCTATCAGTGTTTACCTCTTCCTCGACGGAAGCCTCGTCGATTACAGGCCTTAAAGGTGAACCACCACCTCTTCTAACGCCTTCTACTATTTCTGAAACAGAAACGAAGTGTGCCGCATGATATCAAAGTTCACAAAGTTCACAATGTAAAAAAATCTCTCGATAAAAGCCGTGGGGAAACAACCTACTCGAGAATAAAAATATCGATTACCACGCGCCACGATTGTAGAACGTGGTAAAACGTAGGTTGGAACACAATTGACATAACACCGCGCATGCATTCCGCAAAATTGTAATTACTCAGAACTGGAGCGTCCGCACGCAATCGCGCGATACCACTTCATCCTCGCTCAGTGGAATAGCACGCGTGTACGTCCGACGCTCCATCCGTCTAGCGCGAATAACTTTCTCGTTCGTCTGACCATCGGCAGACTTTACTACTGTCCACGTATATGATCCTACAAAATAAACAGTTACAATTTTACGATTTGATCGTTTGGAATGCAATACTGTTCACATTATTAATTCTACTATAAATAAATGTTTTAATAACATACTACATTTTTATGACAAACATTTCAGAGCGGTAAAAACCTATAAAATTACAAAATTGAACATCTCTTTTATAGAGAATAAAATTCTGATTTCCGTCGAATATATAACTGACTGATTCTGTAACAATGTGTATCAATTAGATTTATAAATGTTTTCTTTGCTTATATAAGACGCAATTCATCTCTGTCTTGCATAAATTTAATTTTACAAAGGTTATGCAATACGATTTGCACGCAGAAGCGAATAAATGTAAGTAACAGAAATCTAATAAAGTTATCGTTTAAAATAAATTGTAAAAAGTATAACAAAAATTGCTACGGGCGTTTGAAGCCACGTAATTCGATCATGTGATTTATATTTCCGATCACATAAATCGCATATATCAATGACCAGCAGAAATTTTACCGGAACAAGGTGAAGATCAATTTACAATAGCGTATGATATTTGCGCTCACGCTAGTATTCCATACGTTGAACAATGTAAACTTATATGTAAACTTTACATATTCATTTCATGGAAATTAAATAAACGACGCAAATTTCAATTACTCTTCAATGCAAGAAACAAAGGTTAAGATAAAGAAAAAAATATGTTCGTGAAATATCGATAATAACAAAATTTATATTGAATCCGCTTTCGTAATTGATTTTATAAAATAAAATTAGACTCATTACTTAATTGTCAAAGTAATCTAGAATTGAAAAAAAAATTATAACAATACTCAAAACAAACAGTCCTTCACATTTTTATTTGTTTTTTTAAGGTTGCTATAAGTAATCTGGAATTGAAAAAGAATCATAACAATATTCAAAACAAACAGTTTTTCACATTTTTATTTGTTTTTTTAAGGTTGCTATAACCTAACTTGTTCGTATTTACTGTTTATCTGCATTAATGTATGGAGACTTTAAATAATATGATGAATAATATCTATATAAAATTATACGAGAAATTTAAAAGTCTTGAATGATATACGAGCAAAGTAAGCAACTATTTTCACAAACGTTACTCCATACATTACTCCGTACAAACATCTGCATACGTAGTCTAGTTTGAGTTCTGCATATCCATACCATCCTATATTACGCTCTTTGACTTCTCAAAATGAAAAATTCCGGTAAAAATCAACGGTATTACATTTCCATAAAAAAAGAAAAAGTAAATATAAAAATTCATATAAAAAATAAAAAACACTGTTATTAAATATAAATAATTTGTATATGTAATAAATAACATATAAAAAATATAAATAGCATAACATATATAATTAGTTAATATTATAGAGTTAGCTCATGATAATAATAACCTCCTAACCAAACTAATTTTAATTATCAACAATTTCACGGTCTAAAAGTACTAACGAGTTAAAATTCATGTATAGAACATATTGACGTTCATTAAAAATAATGAAAACTCGTTAAAATCCAGCGGAAGAATGAAACGTACCATCGCAGAAACGTGAAACGTTTCGAACGGTTATATGCCACAGTTATTATTTAGTGTCACATGTTTTATAAAATTCCTGCGGCAGCAAAATCGACAGTAACGTATAACGCACACTATCACGGAGTATCTTTTCGTGGCAAAGTTCACCGAAACCACCGTAACGTTACAAGGTATCTAATTCTGTCCAAGGTTAATAACGGACGTTATTATGACAGATTTATCTCGTAGTAGGCGGCGGTTGTGCAAGTACCCCTAAGACATAATTGATCTGGTGTTAAATTCGATCGTAGCTATAGGAAACTGAATCCGCTGTTGCGCAAGAGGACACGTACTGTGCCTGTAGATGTCCTCGAGATACATGTTGCAGGACTCGCAGTTGAGGGTGCAGTGAGGCCTGCGGACCTCGAGCAGGGGACTGACGGCTCGCCTGGGACTAGCCCCACCGTCGGGACTCGCCCCCGGCATCTGCGGCAGCGTCAGACTGCTCGTACTCGAGGAGGTACTCCTCTCCGCCATTCTGGCCGCGCGCCCGGGTCTGGATCGTTGATCAAGGAAAAGCCAAACTGCCTCGCCGGACAGCCCTTGAAAAATTTACCGTCGCGATATCGAATCTTTCCTCTCCCATCGTCTCCTCTTCGCTGTCCTGCTTTCGCTATGTGCACATACGCATGCAGATACGCACGACGCGAAAGCCGTACCTGTACCTCCGTCGACTCGGCATATCCGATAAAACGATAAAATCTCGCACGATAGAAAAGATCTTGTAATTCACGAGTTCACTCTCGAATTCGACATTGTTCTCGGCGTAATTGTAGAATTTTGCGGCCGAACAGTCGGATGTAATATATCATGCGGAAAGCTCGTGAATAAAAGCGTACTGCTTTTTGCTAGATGGAAATTGACGAAAAATACTTTTCAATCATTGTGGCATGATGAAAAAGGGGAATGTAAATTAAATTGCAGAACTCGCAAGAAAAAAAAGAGAAACATAAATTACGCGCGCCAAAACATTTTTCCGAGAGTAAATATAAAGGAAACAAATATAGATCATACATCTTCGTAAATGTTATATGTCGCGCTATTATAATTTTTCTAACTATTTATATAAGTCCCAGTCATATACCGATATAATTGTTTAAAAATGTGTGTAAATATAAAATGTGATGTGTTTAAACGTGTTTAAACGTCGACATGTTTAAATCTCGTTTAACTCTCATCTAGATAGTAATATTACATTTATATTACGTGTTTTTTTGGAAATTATAATTATTCAAGTACATTAACGCGCGCAATGAAGCATATTTTATCACAAAATTGTTTATCTTATATTCGCATATTTTATCTTAACCGTCTAATACAACAAGCACTTTATGTACAGAATTAATTTTCCTTGTCGTTTAATATGCAAAAGAAAGCAGAGTGTGCTTGACATATTATGTAAACAGCATCTGCACGAGCTATTAAAACGTTTACCACTATATCTTTAAGTGTATCTATTTACATTATCTCTTTTAAAAACTTGCTATTTCGCGATGAGAGCTAAAATAATATTTATTTAATATTTCACATAACTTATTTCCTTCCAGATTAAATAAATTTTAAAATCAATCTTAACAATTCGAACTTGACTATTATTAATGATTGTTACTAATGACTGTTATTAAAACTTCTTTACAGTTATTTATTGATCTATTTCCAAGTGGACAAAAAACATTGTTTCTGCAATTAACAGTCATAACAACTGTTAAGATAAATGGACAAAGTATCAAACAAATGGAAATTTATTGAACAGTTAATTAAACGGTTCACTGAACAGCTTTTATTCAAATAAAAACAAGTGATCATATTTAATATAGAAGAGAATAACAGTAGACATACTACGGTTTTTAAACGGCATTTTCGTAATAAATCGGTTTGTACACTATGGAATTAATGAAGCTATCATTCAAAAGTTTAATTCGCGTGTAACGATATTACAGTCAATTTATTCAACGGAACTTCGGCGGAAAGTTGTGTTTCGATGGCCTTGGATCGCTTGACTTTGATTTCTTTCTCCACCCAACCCCTTTCGTCTTTATCCGATTATTCCACGATCAATGACTCTCTTTTCGTTCAAATTCACAGGTTGCTTCTTCAATTTCACAATAAAACGCGCCAATTTCCGCGAGTAGTCGTAAGCATTCAAATGAATTATATAACTCCTGTTTAATTATTTTTCCTCAAAATTCCCAAGAAAATATTTTTAAATTTTTAAAGAAAGCAGTCTTATTCGTTTAAATAGAAAGGAAAAAGTTAAAGGTAACTAAAAGTCAGCAAGAAAGAATACAAAATCAAAAGTAAACGCAAAAGGTGAAAAACCATTTCGTTAAAAGCGCGATCAAATAAGTCTTTCTTCGCTGTGCATAATAGTGAAAAATTTTCCGAAAGTTGGTGGCGGGAAATCGTTCTATCATCGTTTTTCGACAAAGTCTAAGTGATTCGTCGTCTCTTTCTCCTTAGGAGGATTACATCGCATTAAGGAATACTCGCGTTTGTGTCACCTCCGTCTTGGCCGGGTCCACTCCACGCCTCCTCTGCTTCTATTTCGCAACGACCCCATTGAACTTTGTTCTACTGAATACGAATGCCCTATTGAAACGCCGAGCTTAATTTCCAGCACCACCACTACATACCACTACGTTTTTTTTATGGGATGCGCGACCGCTAAATTACGAACCGTTCAAAGGGCAGGGAAATTGTTTCACTCACGTTCTCGCTTTGTCGGCTGCCAAAAACGACTCGCGGAATTAATGACTGCGAGCGACGAGCCTCGTAACCTCGATTCCATCACCGAGTGAATTAGCGCGAACGCTTTTCGCTGTTGTTCCGCAAGAAATAAAGTCGGGACGCTTCGCAATTTCAGAGCGCGAGAAAATTGCGTTCGACATCTCATTAACGGTAGCATTATTAGACATAACTGTAACTATTGCATAAAATATACATTTATCTTTCGGGTCGTTTAACGGCACATTTTTCACGCAATTTTACTTTCACACAATAAAACATTTAAATTTTAATATTAACAATTGAGATATTAAAATTTAAATAATAGTAGATTTAAATTTAAACGTATATGCTGTGTAAAATATTTAAAATTATAAAATTATTTCACAAATTTTTTGAAAACTTTTTTGCGAGAGAATCGTTACGCGAGCAAATTATTTCATTCTGATTTATGTAAGTTTAATACCGCTTCTTCAGGAAAAAATTCTCGGAAACATTTTTCATTACGATTTGATAAACAAGAACTGCGGATAAGAAACTTCGGAAATAACGGTAAGGAAAAAAGAAAGACCGTAAAGAAACGAAAAAAGAACGTTGAAGAACATTGCTATTTCGCACTACGGCAAGCATATAGTAACAGGATCGTAAACGAGGCATTTCTATCGCGACAAAGATACTTGAAAGCAATATAAAGAGATAAAAAACAAATGTCCCATTTTTAGTGGAAAGATATAAAAGTGGAAATAAAAATGTGCGTGTAGCGAACGGTCGGTGAACTCGCGCAGCAAATGTGGCAGAACACGAAACTATTACGACACGTCGGATCGTTTATATGATGCGTGACTTATCAAATTATCACGCGCGCTATGTCCTCGAACTTCTCCTCGGTCTGTCAGCAGATTGTGCTCACCTAACAGATCAAACTTGCGCACAGTAGTCGAGTATGGAAATTAAATCTACCAGTAGTCCAAGTAAACGGATGGCCCGACTTTTAACAATAGATCGTAATAAATTAACGCTGGAAACACTGCACGGAAATGCAGCTTCAACGACATTTAGCGGTTTACTTTGTTTCTTCCGGAGAACCAGAGCTATTTTCTCGAACACTTCGGAACTTTACTGTCAACACTATGAAGAATTTATTCGCCTTAAAGGGATGACGATTCCAGCACTACCTCCCACGAGACTTTCTTTCTCTAATAGGAAATCTCTAACATTGTTAGGAGTGCATTTCCCTTAATAGATTTTTTCCAGCTCTGTCAGGAATTTGCTTGCTTTAATGGGAGAATTTTAACACAACCGGAGTTCTAGTTCTTCCGCCGAGGGATCTCTAACACGGTCAGCGGCCTCTTTTCTTTAACACGGTCACCGGGATTTATTTCAGTGCGCGTTTTCTTCACGTTCCGCAACGCAGGCGGTAATTGCTCGCGCGCGGCGGTAACGCGGATATTATGCGGCGGTACGTCGACCCGGTGCGGCGGACTTTGTTTTCGCACTTAGAATCGATATCGTGCCGATGATATCGTGCCGTTGAGCGACGATAAACGGTAGCGAAACGTGCGGGATTAATTTGCGAGTGATCGAGAAGGCCTCGACTGCACATTTCGCGTGACTGCATGTAATTAAAAAAAAAAATAAAAATATGGAGAAAAGAACACACAACGCGGTGTGCACGCACATTGTCATCGGATATGCCGCTCGACGAAAGATCTCTCTTTCGGTTAAATAACACCTACGACTTCGTTATTAGGTCGTAAACTCGGGCATAAGTGGCCCGCTGACTTCACGTGTCGCTGCTAAGAGAGTGTGTTTATGTACAAACTAAAGGAGAATGAGAGAGAAAGAAAAAGAGCGATATCAAGAAGAATCTCGGCGGAGCGCGCGCGAAAGCCGTGTGCGTTCTAGGACGCGTGAGAGCTTCGACTGAGCTTTCGGCCCTCGCTTCGGCATGCTCCTACGGAACTTGCGACATTCCATCCTGCGATCGATCCTCGCAGCCGGTCGCTGAGAGCTTGCGAGCTTGCGAGAACTCTATTACCGATCGTACGCTAGCGTCCATCGATTTTCGCACGAGACTCGAAATTCTGAACGAAAAGCTTCAATGGTAAAGCTCGATTTTCGCTTGTTTGCTTGGACAACGTTACCGAAAGATCTAAATATTGGTGTTCAATATTGATACGCATTGTCAACATGTTTACTTTCTTTGAAAAAAAAACCATCAGTCGAATAAAGATGTGCTTGCAAGTCGAGTCGTCAAACTTAATTTTTTAATTATGAATATCAGATAAAATATTTGTGTCGATAAAGGAGCTGTTTTAATGTACATGTTTTATAAAAATTATCTGTTAAGTTTTGCGTATAAAATTTTATGCCAATATATTATTCTTAATTTTAATAAAATTTAATAAAAAAATAAGATTAGTAGATCAACAAATAATAATTTCTAATTTTATATCTTTGAATGTTTGCAATATGAAGAACATTATAATTCAGATAGTCAAATGTTAGCAATGTTGGCAGATTAACAGTAAATTTGATCAAATTTTCAAGTTGACAGTAGATTTCTTATCAATCTGCCGATGTTGCTAATATTTCGCTCACTGGGAATTTGTGCGACAATTGATATTTGCTGCATTAACTGTTGGTAACAAACTATCTGAATTATCAAGCTTGCAAGCTCATCGTTCCAGGATCAAGGAAGTTTCTGAGGAAGCTTTAGTAAGCACTGATACCTGGCTCGACGGCCGATAAAAAAGTAAACAACATTTTTCATCTTATCAGCAAAAAAACTCAAAAAAAAAATTTTTTTTAATTGCAAAAAAAGAAAAAATTATTAAATATACATGACTTTAATATTTTATTTTTATTTGCGCTATATTAGATTGTATTAAAAATTATTAATCTAAATTTATATCAAAGACTGTTGTAATATTAACTATAATTTTTCTTAAATAGTTAAAAGTTTTTTGATGAAATATTGATCATATCGTGAATTTCTTGGCTAAATCACGAAAGTGGCAAATAATTAAAATGACCTTGCAACATGCAATATGCTTGCGATTTCGTGTTGAGAAACTGTAATTCCTGTATACGCTTTGCGCATCGCGTTACACATACAAACCAGGATCACGTCGCTCTTTATTAGAACCTATAGATTACTGTGAGCGAAATCCTAACGTGTTAGACACTGCAAAATATATCACGCGACGATATGTTCATAATTATATCGAGGATATCTAACGCCGGAAACAAAGACACAAAAAATCAATATTTCAGCGCAATTAAAGTAGTCATATTATACATGGAAATAATTGTTCCTTTGGTCAATCAAAATATATAAACCTCTTTCAAATAAAATAAAAACACGCAAAAAAGTTGCTACCTGTGTATCATTTAAAGTATTGATAAAGTGTATTGATAAAGTAATAATCTTTAATTTGATTTATTCCATCCCTCACTTTTTATTCACGAATTAAAAAATGCATTAAGCATTGTATACCGAAGACGACGCTTTTGCACCATCATTATGACGCAAAACAAGGCGTCATTGTGTCCATGAGAAACAAAGCATTTCATTTCTCGGGTTTTTATCATCATTGATTCACTAATTGTAAGACTAAAATCGGCAAAAATTTAATGAGTACAATTTCTGACGCTATTAATACACAAAAGTGAATTTTATATTTTTTACTTGATGTAATTTGTACTTTTTCATATCTACAATGTCGGAAATTTACTCGGCAAAATGATATGCATTTCAATATCCGCTACCTACCTTCAAATCCTTCAAATAATGGCAACACAGATGCATATAAATTGCACAATTGTTTATCTTGCTGGTCCAAGTTAAATTAACTGCGATGCAAATCGTGTATGTACAACAAGAAACAACATGGGACTCTAGCCCGCGGAAAATCCTTGTTGCCTTCATCGCGTTAAGCGAAATACGGGTAAGAGACAGTTCCATGTATCCGCAATTATCTCGAATGACATTAAAGACTTACCCTTCGGAGAGAGATCGTTATTGTCTCCCAAGTAGAATGGCCCTTGGCGCACTACGATCTCGTGAACGATTATAGCGAAGCTGTATACATCGCCTTTCTGAGTGCCCTCAGGTGGCCGTCTTTCCATCCTCAGCAATTCTGGAGCTGTCCATAGCTGTTCTGCAAACGCCAAAAATTTCAAAAATCAGCGAGCGGCCGAATAATTACATTCTTCCTTTTCTAGCACTTTTGACCGTTATTGTAAATACAAATCGCCAATATTTAAATAAAAATAAAAATATCGTCAAGATAAAAAATATTTGTCGCTTTTAAAACTCCCGATATGTACACATGTAAACTCCCGATATATTGGTTAAACAAATATTTTCCTACGCCGTACGCGTTATTATTCATAAATGTCTATGTATGCGGTAAACTAACTGTCCAAATAGTACAATTGCAACCAGGAACCCGGTACGTTTACTCTGAATATTATCTCGTTTTCTGCTCACGTTTTCACATGAATCCACTTTTTCCAGCCCGCGCGCTTGAAAAATATTTGGAGTTGCAGCTACGACTCATGAAAAAATATCATCATCGCGCGAGAACGCGCGTCTGTTTTATAAGTATACAGCCGATTAGTAAACAACCTACTTCTCCAATAGGCGTAGCTGTTCTTGTCGGTGTCCGGATCCGTGGCGTTTGTTCTCCGAAGCTCGTGCAGACCAAAGTCAGTGATTTTCAGGACGAATCGCGAATCCACGACGCAATTCGAAGATTTGAGATTACCGTGACTCTTCAACTCTGAAGTGTGGAGATACACCATGCCACGGACAATGTCGTGTATCAGAGACCCCCTGAACACGCGATCGAGTTTTATCTGCTCGTTCTCTAGTATATCCTGCTCAACAGCAAAGAATTATGATGTGATTTGGACCGTAAAATCATCATTCTTATATATAGCTTTATATATTATACGAGGTCCGACAATAAAATTTGCGAACTCATTCTTTTTTCACGTACATTACTCACAATTGGCTGTATCGATTATTTTTATCTTCAAAGTAATCCCTTCATAGTACAATACACAAAGACCTTTTTTCACACCTAATAGCATTTCTGAAACTCATCTCTCGAGATCGCTTTTATGGCTACCATTCCGACGTCGTCAAAATCTTTCTTTCTCTTATTCTTGATTCTTATAAACTCTATTTTATGGATATCAGACCGAGTTTTTTCTTCACTAAAAATTTTAGATTTGTCTTTTACTCAATATATTCACCAAAACACAAGGACACCTTATTACAGTACAGTTACTTGAAATTAGCTAAAGTCAGCCATTTTACTGATTGGTCTTAAAGATATTGTAACAAAAAATATATAATTTTATCATAAAATTATCACATATGTCAAAAAAAATTCGCAAACTTATTTGTCAGATTTCATAATATACTGTACACAATATTATCGTTTTTACAACACTTAATAAATATGCAGAATGTTTCACATTTTTTACGTACGTTTTTTCACAAATAAGAGAAAATAAAAATCGATTTTTTCTTAATCTGAAGACTATAAATGCTAAATTATCAATGATAATATAAAAATTGTCATTAAATTAAAATTGAGATAAAAATAAACATTATTTTATATTTAAATTTTCATAAGACGCATATATTCATATCACTTTTTAATATTATGACATAATTATTTTGGACGCTTATTATTATAAAACATGAATTGAGATGCAGAATGCAATTTACCTGGAGAGATCCTTTGGGGCAGTATTCAGTTAGGAGGCAACAATGCGGCGGCTCAAGACAGGCACCGTAAAATCGTACAAGATGATCGTGCTGAAGATCCTTCATCTGTGAAAGTCACCAACATCACCACTCATATAAATTACAACCTATTGCATGCAATCGGTTACTAAAGATAAAATTACACGTGAAAAAAGATAATTAAAAAAAAATATACAAAAAAATTTGGAAACAAACTGAAGTTGACACAACATTTCATACAATAATTCATGAAGTTACGTTACTTACCCGCTTCAATTCCAGCAATAAAGGTCTTGAGATCTCCACTTTGTTCCTGGGTATTAGTTTTATTGCGACTTTTGAGTTCTGAAACGTATTGCAATTTCACGGTCGACAGAGTTATTGACAATTTTTTGATTGCCTCGAAAACTCCCCGTAGAAAAAAAAAGAACATACTGTTCAACTTTGCCAAACACAACGCGCAAAAACACAAATTGAATCATCAGTGAATATCGACAAATTTCGTCAAATTTTTTGTTGCTCGACGACAAATAAGTTTTGCGGAAAATAAATTTAAGTATTGAAAATATAAAAAAAAACGCAACAGGAAAGCTTGTTGTAACGGCAAAATAAAAAATCTTATAAAAAAATTCTTCTAAAGTTGCAATCTCGCGCTGTAATAAAATCGTTAATAAATTAATTTCCTCGCCTTTCTTGCTCGGACGCGTTTGTCACACAATTGTATGACGTTTTACTGAAGTAATATTTCCATTAAACAAAAAATAATTAATTAGCAAACACGAACGACAAAAGCAGTCCGTATATTTGAAGTTTTAATACGTATTTCGATCGCGAATAACATACGTTGACACTTAATCCTATTAATGGATAACCCGGAAAAATGTGTTGCATGATAACAACATGGTAAATATATTTTTTGTTAGCGATGTACGTACGCAAACGTAGTGCACTGTAGTTTATTTTTTCTAAGTTTCTAAGCTTACTCGACATGATTGATAATATATTGAACGTCTAAAATTTAAATATTAACTATATGCAATAAAATAACAATGAAACACAATTTACCTTATAAAATCCTGTTGGCACATACATGTTTCTATCTATGTCACCTGGCATACTTGCATTATCAGTATATATCGTCTAAAACAGAGATTATTATTTGAATAAATATTTGTATGGTTGAATCAAAAGCAATCAGAAAAATTACACAAGACAGGGTATATATTAATATTATTAGAAAATATTTTAGAAACAGTATTTGTTTTTAAAATTTATTAAAATTGTTTAATGGGTTTTTCGAAATTTGACGCTAATCTTTACTCAAGGAAAAGTTTGAAGCTTAAACGCTTAGTAATCAAATTTTTAAAGATAAAAGTCTTAGATCAAACTCTCGTAAAGATAAACGCAAGTTTAAAAGTGAACTTTAATTATCGAATGTATGTGTACTACTGAAACTTTGTGAGAAAGTCTTCACTTGCACTTGCTTAAAATACGGAAACTCTCTCTCTCTCTCTCCTCGACGTTTTAATCAGACAAAGTTTGATCAAAGATCAGACTGTAGCTTGATCAAAGATCTTATTGTCAGATTTATGATCGGCATTGCACGAATAAATATAAAATCAAAGCTGGTGCTTATTTTTTTACACATCGTAAAATTTGTTTAGGTGAGATGAACCATCTATCTTAATTAATATCTCAAAAAAATAAATAGATTTATTTAACTGAACAAAGGCGATTCTTCTTCCTTCGCCTCTCTGCATCATAATGCAACGTGAAGGAATGATAAGAAACGCATCAACAGGATAACGTACAATGGAATAAAGCCTTCTTTATGGTTGCTACTCTGAGTGCTCCGGAAGTGGGTAAGTACTACACGCGAGATGGTGCTTTCCACCACTGTTCTCTTTTCTTTTTCAGAGATTCCGTCTGAGATATGAACACCATTCCTTCAAGAACGGAATTATTGGAATAAATGCCGGATATTATTGGAATGAATGCCGGAATAATAACTTGTTTCGCCGCTGTTGTTGTTTACTTTATCCGCTATCAACCTTTGCGTCGCAAATATTTGTCAAATCTGCTGGAATTACTCTTTGAAATCCTAGATGATCAAATCAACGTTCTCGCAAGTGAGAAAAGAAACATTTTACGCGCGATCGCGCGTAAATCGCATTTCTTGTTATATTTACCAGTTGGCTGCCGCGGAACTTATTCGTGAGTACATTCAAGGAGTACATGGAGCCCCGTGTCTTCGCGTTCGGCATTACGATTACGTCATACCAGTGCACTTTCCACGTCATGGACGCGATTTCCGCCTCCAGTTTGAAGCGCCTGCAAAACAAACGACGGTGTTATCACCAGCGATTTTTATGACGAAAGGGTTACAAAGCAGAGGCGTGCGAATAAATTTGCACAATACTTTACGACTATGTGATAAACTGCGCGCTTAAGCGTACGTGCCGTGAATTAATTCCGGACAGCAGCATTATCTCCTTCCCTCGACAAAGAATATTGCGTACCTTTCCTGATGATTAACACGATCTTTTTATCAGCCGCAATTATCATGTTGCAACGTGGAGGTAGTGAAAATATTTTCGCGATTGTTACCCGTAGCGAGGATGCAATTAATCAACTCAGCAAACCTACATGCCGCCGTCTACATTTATGCTACCCTTCGATATCTGCAAGTTCGCGAAAGTGTATGTGAACGCTTGGACGGACAAGTTCGCAAGCCCTGCTTCGGTGTGCGTGCACCGAGAGAGAGGGAGAGAGAGAGAGAGAGAGAGAGAGAGAGAGAGAGAGAGCACATCACAAGAGGTAATTACGTGCCGGCGTATCTCATAACCGCATGCCTATCTGTCCCACGCGAGATACTATTCCACATACAAAGGTGCCGTGTACTCGGAATTTCTCCAACTAAATGAGTTCGATATATCCATCGGCGGCTACCGATAACCGCGCGAGCGGTTACACTGACGAGGCAAATTGCAAATGACGAAAGCGCAATCGTGTTTGCTAAAAGAGTTATCATCGATACAGTTCTGACGAATTCGGCCATCGATACCGTAGATTCGGAAAAACGCAGCTTACGCAAATTTTCGCGAATAAATATGCAGATTTTTTTTTTTTTTTTTTGCGTAAATATAGCATCGAATTGAATATCCGAAAGCATTGAGATCCGATCGTACGTGTCAATTTTAATTAACGAAAACTATCTGGTATATCATGCGCCAATACCGAAAATTAGAGGCAATTTCCTGATTTTTATAAACTGTTTTCAAATATTATATATAATTCTACGTCTAATAATGATTAGCTTATCTTTTATTTGAATTCAGTAAGTTCAATATTGAGTTTTCATTATTCTATCTCACACTCATATAATCCTACGTTTCACGTGTACATACATAGTGCAGAAGACAGAGATACTAAAGACGTGTTTGACTTTCAGAAATGGTGTATGCTCTTCAGTATCTCTCCCTCTCTCTCTCTCTCTCTCTCTCTATCTCTCTCTATTTCTACGATATAATTTTCCTTAATAACGACCGCGTAACTGGAGTAAACGTAAGCTGTTCGAGACGAATCGCGAAGCTGCTTGTCGAAAAGGCATTCTCCACACAAAACAAAAGACGAATGCAAGCTGCATAATGCAACTGACAACTTCCTGCACTTCGCTTCCGAACGCACAGACGTCATCACACCAGAAAATACTCGCCTGTCGTACCGTAGATTATAAAATTAATTCATTAGGGAATTTCTACAACGCTCACAGCAATGCCGCGTAAATTAGATTGACCTCAATGGAAAGTGCAAATAACTTCGCCTTACGATTAGATCCGTAACCGAAGACATTTCCGTTGGGGAGGGGACTGCAATAAAAGTCTTCAAAAATATTGGGAAATTCGATGTTCGACGATTGAAGCAATTGACATGTTATTCGAGAATGGTTCGCTCCATCAAGCTTAATTCTAACGGATCTTAAAACAAGTTGTAAAACCGTGCAACTGCGCTATTGCTTCGATTAAGACTGTACGATAAAGATACGATGCGTAAAGCGAAGTTATAGTGCAGCACGATAAACACGATAAAAGCACAAAGGACGCCAGAAATAAATAATTATCAAGTCAAGCATAGTGCGCTCCAATTAAATTTGAAAATCTATAGTTGTTCTTTTTTTTTCGTAAATCGAACCGTTCAATATCGTGTTGTGACCGTGTAATTGATCATTCGCAGAATAAAAAACAACATTCGTTTTTAAACGCCTGAAATGCTGTCGTGACCAACAAGCCCGGGAAACAAAGACACTTGGAGCGATCGCGTAACAGAATCGACAAACGATATAAATCGATTAACTCGCAACATCTGAGAAATTTCACCGCAGATAAGTGTCTTGCCTTGTCCACGTCTACCGCCTTGCCTCCCTCGCTCCTCCCTTCCCAGCCTCTCTTCGCCTTGCTTCCTTTCAGTATCGAATCCGAAGAAGTTAAGGAGCTTCTGCTGCACGCTCTCAACATGTATACGTGCACTTAGCAAGTGCTCGAATGTTATCGAGATTATCTCTTTGCGAATAAGTGAAGGAAGGAACGACATCTTGTAAATTTCTAATCACGATCTATATTAATTAATGCGCATTAACTCGCAAATTATATTACGGATATTTTAGAGTGTTAAATATGCACATTTCAAGAGCACTGATTATTTGCAAATACGTTTGCAATTTAGCTCTTCAATTTTAGTTGCAAATTTAATTTGTAAAACTTTTATTCGTTATTCTGAAATATTTCGATATACTAATATATGCTTATGTAGATTAATATACGCTCAACAAGAATAGCTTTGAATCAAACAATGGAAATTAATGGTTAGTCGGAAATAATTTTGTTAATCTTCTCTAAAACGGGAGAGAGAAAATAACGATTAAATCATTATACATATAATATAATTTAAACCGAGAACGCGCGGTCAGCGATAATTGAAATGAAAATTATTATTTGCTGGTCTTTATCGCAGCACGCCGATTCTATGAACATGCTTTTTCTCTACACGATGCATACACTTGTCCAGTTTGAATGCTGTATCGCTTTCTCGATATTCAAACCTCAATTTATAACAATCAGTGGCATTTATATCCCCACTAATACCGACAAACACGTTCGCAAATACATAAAGCCGCTGTTGGAAAATACACTTCACTTACCGATAAATAAATACCGAACCGACGACGAGAACAACCACGATGGAGCTCAATATCATGGAGAGAATGGCATATCCTGGAAGAGCTGTCGAACATTAGTAATTTAAATAAAAGAAAATATTATGCTTTAGAAGTCAAATGGTTTCGTGCATTAAATAATTTTGTGCGAAAAATCTGCGTAAAATTAAACTAATTATGCAAGACAAATTTTTACAATTTGAAGTAATTTTGCTAACAATTAAATTATATTAATGATCAATATAAATAAGATTTATTTATATACGGAGATCTTTTTCATGTCTTGTATATGCAATTGCATATTTCTGTCGTGCTGATTACATTGATAGTATAATAATAGCGTGCTGATTACATAGATTACTATTAATAGCGTCTGACAATGTAAGGTAATCAGCACGACAGAAGTGCAATTGCATATTTATTTAAATTATTTATTACTTAAACTATTAATTAAAGAAATATTACTTACAATTATCAGGACATAACGACCCATCGAATCCACAAGTAGGCGTGTCCGGCGGTGGCTCTAAACGACCACCGGCCCAGTGAATTTGCTTGCCCGGGATGTATTCTAATGTTTTATTCGCGCCGTAATAATTGGCTACAATCTGCGAAAAAAATATTTCACGATAGTTTCGAGATGAAAAACACGAGAACACATTTCTTTCAGCGGTGTGGCAGTTTTCTGATTTCTCGAAAAAAAGAAAGGTTTTTTAATTTGGAAAATTCTCTGTTATACACTGCAGCTTTAAACTCATCGCTATTAGCACAGCGCTTTTCCATATATATATCCTACATTCATTCCAGCTTCTCTCAGATCTTCTTTTAATAATCCTAATGCATAATAATCTGGTGCCAGATCTAGATCGTGTAGAAGATATGCTGGCACGCTATTTTAATGACGGCGAGCTTAAAGCACACGCATAACTGCGTAATTTTCCCGGCCAAAAAATTCTTTTTCCGAAAAATTAAAAAGCTAGTAGGCCGCTGAAAGAAATGTGTTAAAAAAAAACATGTTAGGTATTTATAGAAGAACAAACTATTATTTAAATTTTTTACTAAGTACATATCTTTTTTAATGCTGACTTTTCTGAAACTTTTCAACTCACTCTCATATTTAGAATAAAACAATACGCATAGAGATAATTGCTTTAGGATTTTCTATTTAATTTTACCGTTTAACGTAGTAAATTCATTGATGTTGCAATGTTGTGAACTAAATTGTTTCAATTGTTAATAAGGTGTTGGATGAGACTACGTAGACGTAACTACAAGATCAGGAGTCTTACTTCAAATCTGGAAGTTTTCGGGTCCATGTCCAGTAGAGAATAATCGGCAATTCTGTCGCCATTTTCGTCGATATTTACGTCCCCGGTTATTCCTGAAATTAATTACTTATGAGAAACAAATTATCCTTACGCGTTTGTAGTAGCCTAACCTAACCTAACCTAACATCAGTGGAACTTAAACGGAATTGAAAACAGCTGACAGACGATTTATTTTACGGAAGTTATCAATTTTCGAAAAGCTTTACTTCGCACAATGTGATAAAACTTCGCGTGGGCGACTGTTACAGTTCAAGACGACCGATAAAATGTAACACTCCGAGAGAAACGCAACCTGCAGTATCACAAAACGAGAACGCACACATAGGATATATTAAAATACAAAGCAAACTGGCAATCTCGCATTCTGTTGATGTCTAGCTATATTGCTCATAAGATTTCCTCGGAAAAATAAAGCATTGAAGGTCAAAGCAAAATAGTGTGACATAACAGAGCGAAATGCAAACATTATTTGAAAAATGTGACGTAAAGCCAAAGCAAAGATTGACTATTTCTACATTCGTAAAATTAATAATTATTATACTTTATGAAAACAAGGTAACACTTTGATCAAATTTAATTTTTAAATATTTATGTAAAATCTAAAAATATTTTAAAGAAATATTATTTTTAAATAAATCTGATAAAATATAAACCCAGTATAAAAATAAAAATATTATAAATAATCGGATAAGGCTCGCAAGAAAACGAGAGAGAGAGAGAGAGAACAATAAATGATACAGTATATAATGCGTAATCGTATTAATTGCAGAATTTAGGAAGCTATAGTAGCGTCAGTAGCGGATTTCCGCGATTGATAATTAGTCGAGATAATCAATTATATAACTGTTCGAATCAAAACACATCTAATTAACGTTTGGTTTCTGTATCTAGTGATTAGTTATCCCTTTTCAGCGTTTCAACACAGGCCGATCGTTCTATAGATTCGTGGATTAACTTTGTCACAACGTGGATTACAAACGACCGCCCATCGATGCGATGCAGCGTGCAACGTAGCAAATATAATCGATAACGTGGTTTTGTCGTTAATAACAAAGTGCCTGCCGTAAACTTCTCGAAAATTTACGGCAGATGTTTCACTAGAAACTGACGCAGCTGGAGATCCTTTATATTTCTTGCGCGTTCTATTTCTTTAACTACAAGAAAGTATCAATTTTTTTTTACGCAGTTCTGTAGCAAAGAAGTGATACGTCTCTTACGTAATGTATAAAATTTCACTGTGTGAGATTCTTCCGTGATCGCTAAAGTTCTCGAGTTTCTTCCGGCGTCATTTCCGTTAAAGCTCAAATGACTGACGCGGGCTTTCGGAAGTGTAAGTGACGATAAAGGAAAAAACTTACCCTTGAAACTTTTTCCCCACATTCTTCGGGTCAAATTACCACCATCTAGGTTGACTTCACCCGGCTCTTCCGGCAGGCTCTCTTTAAGGGCGAGGGCGTAAAGCAGCACGGCATCGTAAAACGCTGTCACAAAGGTGGAGACCGAGTTGTTACCGAAGGTGAAGTTGTATTTGCTTTGCGCCAGGGACTTAACTTCGCGCGAAAAATTCAGGTACTCCAGATTATCCGGAGTGCGCGCTGTCACCGTGAGCAGAGCCTGATAAGCCTTACGAGCCTTCTCGTTTCTTTCGTCGGTGTCCTCCTCGATCCTCCATGGTTCTTTGGAATTGTAATCGCTACAACATATTTTAGCTGGCTCGATGCTCTGCTATAAGAGTTTTTGCAAACGTGTGCATTTTACGTTTCTACAAATGTAATGTCATAATCTTATGAGAAAAATACTCAAGCAAATAATCGTCATCTGACACCTTTTTGCTGTCATAATAATCAATTATGACAAAAAGATGTCAGATGACGATCATTTGCTACTTGAGTAAATACACGTTTCCATCGACGTATCATAATGTTACATAAAGAGAGAATCGGATTTCAAAGCTTTCAATTTTAAAATAAGTTCTGTAAAGTAAACCGTTTGAGATAATCAAATATTAAACGTCACATATAATATTTTTATATAAGAATATTGCAATTTTTGTAAAATATTTATATATTTTTCAAATTCAAATAGATTTACAATAAATAGAAATAATATGAATAATGGGAAATAATAGAAATATCAATAATAAAAAAAAATATGAGAAATTTATGCACACACAATATTACTCTGCGATATTAAAGTCAGATATGACATTAGAGAAACACTTTGTAATAAATTTTCAAGAAAAAGAAGATATTAAGGGAACAAATAGATATAAAATTCAACATACATCCAAGATGTAAAATTAAAATTGTTATTATATTTTAATTTTTAATTGTTTTCACTCTCAACCTTTCTACATTTAAATGAAAGAAAATTATAAAAATAGCTTTGTGCCGAGAAAAACGAGGAATAAATTATTGAGTTTCTTCAAATACGTATATTTTGATTCTTCAAAAATGATTTAACGCTGTCGATATAAAAACGACATATCCTACGCAATGACCCAATTAATTTGCATTTCGGCAAAACTTTAGTTATTTAAATAAAATACCGTAACCGAGCAGCTTTTCGATATATACCGAAGAACATAACTTTTATTTTACGACATTTGATCGTTACGTTATAATTGGAGCGTATAAAAGCCACAAGTACCTATCCGTATGTAACACGTGTCACGTTTGAGTTACAAAAGGCAAAAGTTCGTGTAGAAAACGCATAATATACGTTTCTGCGGGCATGTGATTAAATATAATGACGTCGTTGGAGCACTATAGTGTCATCGTAGACGTCCACAACGACGATCTTATTTTTTTGCTCGAATCTTTTGCATGTTTCCCTTCAGTTTAACGCGAGCGTAAATCGGCATAGTTCAAAAGCAATCTCAAGAACAAAAAAGTTCTCCGCTCGGCATTCTAGAAATTCTTCGACTTTTTAATCTGTGACAGGAGCATTGACGACGGCTCGATTGTCTGCGAGGGAATCGCCGGGGAAACAGAAGTTCTTTATCTAATGATTCTAAAAGACGTACTTTGCGCGGTATTTGTCATTTCACGACCGTTTGACTATTATGGAAGAGCTGCCCAATTAATTCCAGAGGGGAGAAACAGGTGAATAAAAATTCCAATACTCTCAGAATTAGTGTCAGTCGCTGTTCGAGTTACGGCGCACTTAAATGACTTTTTACTCCGCGCCGTTATAAATCCCATGTGAATCACATCAAACCAGATCTTCGAATTTGTTTCGCTCTAAAAAAGCTCGTATATTATATCGCGGTTTCGAATCGGATACATTTACACGAGAACTTTTACCTATCGGCTTTTTCCCTCCAAAAACAAATTAGCCCATCGATCCTCCGCTATCGGCAGCGGCGATAGTTTTATACAGATGATAATAGATCAACGATCGTTTATTCTAGTTTGACTATAATCTAAATGAAGGGCTGCGGCTTGAGGTTTCCGATACAATGGATTGAATTCCACTCGACCCAAAATCGCGCGATATCCTTTATGAACGAGAAGCAGAGGAAGACAGAGATAGAAGCGAAACCGTATCGCGCGATATCGAGTATAACAGTTTTGTTTGTCAGTAGCAGATATTTCTCTGTCGCAAAGCGTAAACGGGGGGCGTTATAATACGCGAACGGTACGGTTGGGATCGTTAGAATTCAAGATCAACCTCTTGGATTCCGAGCGGCGAGTATAGGACTATCGCTGATAAGATCGTTAAGAGGACAAAACAACGTTTCAAGAACGCGATCGTAAGAAACTTACGACCGGGTGAAATCACGTACTACGCGCACGACGGATTAGCAATTTCCTGGGATGACGCTTTTCAAGGCCTCGTTAAAGAGCGCGATTCCACAATACCTGCTCTTTCTATACATGGTATGGGTACGTAAAGCAGTTCATTTAAAGCGAAACTGTTTGACGATCCGACGCGAAATGACTAAACCACGAGAGATAAATTAGGTTGATAGCTAAATACTTGCCGAATTTGACTCAACGGCGCGTTGAATATCTTCAGGCAAGCACAGAATGAGCTAAGTAAATATAATTTTCTAATTTTAGCTCTCTTAATAAATATTACGCTAAAATAATATTAACATATTATTTCAAACACGTTGAACTAACAGAAATAGCTTCTGTTAATAATTATTCAAGTGAAATTATAATGCCAGAATATACTGTAATATATTCTGCAATTAATTAACAACAGAAAATATTTACACAAATTTCTATAAAAAAATATTGCGCCCTTATGTTTGTGAAATAATCTTTTTTTTATGTATAAAACACATGCGCACACATCAGTCTATTATAAAGTTCGGCATTGCCAGGTCTCGTTTTAACCTTCTTTTATTTGCTCCTCATTTCTTCGTACAATCATTGAGAAGAGAAACATGCAGCGTATTTCATGTCAATTTTCCTTCTAATATATGGGGGTCGAACGTGTAGCAGTGGCAACTCCACATTCATTTCAATTATAAAATGGCTTTAGTGTCCCAGTCGCACATTATTGTACAACCACCTTGCTTATGTCCTAGTTTTTGACATGCGACCCGCGTTTCTGCGGATTTTGCACGTTATAACTTTTGTGTTTCCAAAGCACAATGTTTCCAAAATAATACGGCCAAACTCACGATTAAATCGTAAAATAAAGTGTAATATTGCTGAAAATCCACTTTCAATATTCATATATGAATATTTTAAACAAATAATATATCTATAGATTAAAAAAATAAAAAATTCATATTTTAGACAAAAAGAGATGGTTGTAATTTCAATACACGATTAATATCGTTTCCCGATAAATATAATTTTTCTATCGCGATCATCTTTTCATCTTTTATGTTTTCAAATATATTTCAGAATTATCTTACACATTCTGTTTTATTTTAACATGAGTCGCACCTACACGATCACACACGTGTTTATTGCACTTTTCATTCGGCATGAAACTGCCGCAACACGTTGCACGATCTACACCATAACGAGTGACACACGCAATTACTTCCGGCGGTAGAATTGCAAGTTTACTCTACTCACCTGGAGGAAAGCTCTATGGAGAAGAACACGTACTCCCCTGAGTCTATCATCCCGAGCTCCTCGGCAGCCAGCAATAGCTCCCGGATGGTCGTTGAATTAGCGCACATCACCACGACTGAAACAAAAAGCACACGATTTTCAGCCAAGGGAAATATCGGGATTAATTTATAATTTATTTACTCATACACATTTACTAATACACTTATTTTATTAAAATATCGTAAATTACAAAATACACCGTCCAAGTGCAGCACAAAGATGAGACAACGCAAACAATGTTGTTTATACCACTCAGCTTCAGCAATGTGCAATTGTCATTGTATATTTTGCTTCGACATGTTTATCTTAGCTCAACGTAAGCCCAGCGGCTTCAACGCGAAATTCAGAGAGATGTGTACAAATAGATAAAGACAACGAAATTTCAATTATTATTTTGCTTTAAAATAAAATTTCATATTTACATTTGAAAATCTTCTGCGTGACTATTCGACACACGAATGCTTCTACATGCAGGTCTTTTCAATCAAAATGTATCTTCTTATCAAATCGAAGTTTGTTAAAAGTATCACACAGATAAATGCTTTCCGTGTTATACCAGAAGGTATAAAATCCTGCAAATCCAGAAAATCTTCTATAAACCACCGACGTTCGTCGAACATTTCCTTCTGCACATCAACGGCGAACTCATAAACCTGCTCGAATTTCATAAGGCGAGAATATTGTGCGCAAAAATAACTTATGTGTGTTAAAATACATAGAGTGTTCGTTAATAATAAGGAGATCGCTCAAGCGCGCTCAGTACTAAAATCAATAACTTTTTTTATTATTACGAAAAAATATCGAGATGTAATATATAAGTATATTGTAGAAATTTACTGTGCAAATATATAAATCGGAAACAATTGAGATATTGAGATACTGCGCTTTTTTTTATTTTGGAGAGAACATTTTTACATTTATACAGAATTAAAATCTACGTTAAAATTTATATTTAATTTTACTGACAGTTTTTGAATTTTTTGGAAAGAGAAAATGATTTAGTTACGACACTTTCAAAGTAATTTATTTATAAATACCTAATATCGTAGAAAAATATTTCTAAATATTACTATTTCGTAATTATTATTTTTCGTAAATTATTACTTTTCACAAAAAGTATAAAGTTCTTATACCTTCAAGTAACTTAAAAAAAATTTTTTTTTCTTTGCTGCTTATTTCTGTTATTATTTTTTAAAATTTATCAAATCTTAGATTACAGTAAATTTTATTTCAATAATTTCATATATATTTTCAAGCACTAAACAAATAAAAAATCGCTTTATATTGACATCTTTTTCCCTAGAGAAATTCTTACGAAAAACGTGTACGAATAAAACGTTTTCACAATCCGCGGCTGCCCGTATCGTTCCACCACAACACGTCAAGCGAAATATAAACGTTTATCCAAGCAAAGTCGTAATCTAGTTTTTACGACAAGTCGAATACGCACCATTAATCGGTGCATCGCATCGTTCGCATATATCTTGCTAACACAACGTTTGTCAGAATACGATTTGATAAATATCTAAAAATAAATACATAAAAAACTTTTATAAAATTTACGAAGTTATCTTAATGCAGATAGAAAATTCATTCTTTGCAATCTGATTATTATTACGTTTTTCTTGTTTAATATAATATAAAATCAATAACTATGAAATAACTATATTATACCTTCAAAGAAAATTAATAGACTTTTGGAAATAATTTGTAGAAGACAAGATTATTTAAAAATATAAAAAGGACTAAATGCAACAAACAGTATTGAATTGAAATAATATTTCTCCTTTAATTTTCCTGACAAAGTATTTTATGTCCTGCACACTTTGTCCCAAATTTATCGATATGCAAACATCGTGAATATGCAATGAAACGTTCCATTAATGTGACATCATCAAATATAAATTTGCGCGCATTTTGCGCGTTTGTTGCTATTTATTTACATACCTCGTACGACTCAATATCATTGAATCCTGCGTTTTATCGCATTGTTAACTATTTTCACAACAAAATAAACGAAATCTATTATCTTGTAACGTAGAGTGTAGTAAGATGCGAAACGACGTCGTCGTCGCATTATTATAGGTCGATTCCACTCGGCTTCTCATTACAGATACTCTTCACTTGCAGTTAATGCCGTCGTAGACGACGACGACGACGACTAACAAGAGTCATAGGATACAAAGGGGTAAAGTTCGCTCCATTATGTAAGCGCATCTAGACGATGTAAAGACGTCGATGTTAGCTTACGCGTTAGCCTGATATTTTCTCACCTCTGTGGCATTTAAGGATTTCGATTAGCCGGAAATATAATTACGAGAGAATGCACCAAAATGAAGTATACCAAACTACACTAGATTGCGATAAGATGACAATAGACCACTCTATTTAATTTATCTCGATAACACCTACGCTAAAATACAGTAGCAAATATTGATCGTAATCTGACGTCTTGCGACACACACACTGTGGCGTATTTTCTTACACTTTCACATACTCGGGACTTTTAGTATATATTACTCTAAAGACTTTACTTCCTCGTTTTATCATCTGTAAAGGAAAGAAACAAAATTGATATAAAAATATATTTTATTTTACTCGCGAGATGAAGCGCAAAAGGGGAAATATAAAAGAAGAATTTTACATTAACGATTACGAAAAACTTTTTACCTTTCAAATAAAAGTACTGCGAATCAGCTACTGTAAAGAACTCAACAAACTAAACTCTCTCTCTCTTTATGTGGTTCAATGTTGCAGAACGCGCTTCACATTAAACCTTTTGCTGCGGACGACAAATAAATTCGTTGTCAGAAAGTAGCGTCTTATTTACAGACGACGAATTTATATATTTGACATGGAAAATTGTTTGTCATTTGCAAACGTATATGTTTGACAATCCACAGATAACATAAATGTACATGTAGAAATTAAATGTCGAAAAAAAGGACTCTGTTCCTTATTATTGCTATATATTGGCATATTTTTAATATTTTAAAAACCAGAAAATTTTCATTACTGGACTTTTCTGTTAACAAAGGAGAGATGACCTTGCTATAGACATTCGACCAACACACAAGTAAGCGCCCGCATATAGCGAGCGCTTTTTCGTTGGAGTGCCGCAGCGAAAAAGTAAAAACTTTTTACTACTGTCAGACAAATTATTTGTAAGCCAACATAATCGCGCTATATTGCGCAGAACACTCTTAGAACAAAAACAAAAGTCTTTATTAACCAATTAAAGTAAAATAAAAATTGAATTAAAATTTAAAAAATTAAAAAATTAAAGAATAATTAAAGAAGAAAATTATAATTAAGGAAGATTCATTCGTCACTAAAGCAGTCACTCCGCTAACTCAATCACTGACTCAAAATCCCTACGTCTCACTTTTATTTTCACTCGTACAAAATTGGAATCGTGAGTCCTGAAAGACAAAGGTACCGAGAACAAAACATGATGTCGTGAGATTCTGCTAATAAATTCTGATTTCTACATCTAATCGAAAAGAAACACAGTTGAGGAAATTGCGAAAAGATGCTGACTGAAATGTGTGAGCAATAAAAATTCAGCGGATAAAAATTCGTCATTGCACACATGTTTGCAAAATAGTATAAAACTAATAATTATAAAAGTAGAATAGAGAAATAAAATGGTATAAAATGTAAGATATATGTAAATTGTAACCATGAGAGAAACAATAAATATATCTATTTATCTCTTACAAAACTCTCATTCGCAAAAAGTTAAAGTATAACAAATATTTATCTCTTTTTAATTCCTTTTTTAGAAGGTGAACAGATTTTTAAAAGAGCATCGCTTCAGGCAAAGGAGAAATTTTATTGAATAATCGCTCAGTCAAATCACAATAAGAATCAATTTAAAAATTTTTTATATGATACATACAGAATAACGTGATAAATGATCGGTTCAACCTATCGAGGACGTAACACCTTACATCGATTGAGAATCTGAACGACAGTAAAAAGCAGTTGAGGCATGAAGCGAAAGGAGTTCGGATTCGGATCAGGCATCGATGCGAGTAAAATGGGCGGATCGATGTTACATTGCACGTCTATACCGGGGAATAGCCTCATTATCACATAGATCGAATCTTCTTACTTCTCTTTTATAACTCGTCTTTCACCTACGCCACTCATAGACGGTTTCGACGACAGTCGCTCGAATAGAGTTAAACGTAAACTTGTCGTATAACTTTGTTTCCCGGCACGTTAACGTGATAATACTGACGACAGATGCCTACCTCCGTAGTTTTTGTCTTGAAGATATAAAAGAATTGCAACAAAAAAATTTTTTTAACACACATTTCTAAATTATGTAAAAACTTTATACATTCCAAATAAATATAAAAAATTAATTATTATTAATATACTATAAAAATAAAAAAATTATTTGACAAAACAAAATTTGAAATCATTCACTATTTGTTAAAGAAAATTATAAAAAATTATTTTTTGCTAATATAACATATTAGAAAAAAAGTATAATTTCCATAAAATACCCTTTAAAATATTTTCATATACCAAGCCATATTGTTATTATACGCGTAATAATTAATACTAGTGGCTGACGCATTAAAATAATTTAATATAAAATATTTTAAAGGTACGCGTAAAGTGATGCATTAACATGCATACAGGAAAATAACATACTCATGCATATGCTGGCATCCGCTTACACAAAAAGTTTCGTAAGCGATACATCACGATACGAAAAAGATAACAACGTGACATTAATATCATTTTCATTTCGCGATAAATAAATTCTAACCGGGAGATGATTTTATACAATACAATGAGATTAATATCAAGCAACAATAAACACGAAACAAATATCCCGTTATCAGATTATTTTATTGTCGCAAGTATTTTTAGCACAATCGTGAGAACTTGACGAGACATTTAGTCATCTTACGCGATGCGGATGTCGATAAAAATCCAATAAAAACCTAACACCTTTTTTTCGAAAGCGGAATTTTGAGAATTTCAATCGATCAGTGATTTGCGGTATTCGCCAATAATTCAGCATAGGTTAGTGACGATGCAATGCACCATGTTCTTGAATTAATGTCGAATTCTCGAAAATCGAATGGTGTGGGTGTCACGATGGCGCGCAAATTTTTTATGCAGTAATGTTCCAAGAATTTATTCTTCGCAATCAAATATGCGATTCGAATTTATTGGATTGTCCGAATAGTTTGTGCTGATTTTCCAATGCAATCAAATGCAAAAATCGACATAAATTCTCGACAAGAATCTTCTTCAAAGTTTCAATCTTTTAACAAAATTTTTCATAAAACATCACCATTACTTATATGCTTTTGTAAAAAAATTTCTGTTGTAAGAAAATAAAAGGAAGTAATAACTTGTATATACTTATATCGATAAATGCAACATATTATTCGGTATAATTGAGTCAAAAATATTTGCACTTTATCTAGCGGAAATCGCAGGAACTTGCGCGTAGATAGCATCAAATCGAAGAGACACATTCAGCAGCTTATTTCATTTCTATTGAAGATAAGTCTGCCGTAAATTCTCTCTCTCTGTAATGCGATTTAACGATTCGGGAGAGTTGAGTACGAAGCGAGAAGCGAGAAACTAGCGTGGAGGAATTTTCAAGATGCAGTTTTGCTCGTACGGATTGCCAACGCGATATTGCGACTGAAGTGCTCGCGTACGCAACATAACGATTCGATTAGCACCTCCGGATTTATGACACATAGCTCAGCCATTGCGGTATCGCATCAAGACGCGAAGCACATTAAATTAATTAATTACACGCGAAGAGAACTTTCCGCTCGGTTACGCGTGCAACATATTCAGTTTTCACAATGTTTGCGAAGTAATTAATTATGTGGTGATTACGAAGCACGCGGGTTTAAATTATCATGTTACCTCAGTAATAAAACTGATGAAAGTTTCTCCGAACGTTTTTCAACAATTGCGCTGATTACAAAGGATAAGGCTGTTAATAAAAATTTATTTCGCCGATGTTTGAATAACAACATCTAAAGTTACTTGACGAGTTCAAAGTATTAAATACAATCAACGAGTGACAGGTACTAGCGCATTTGCAGAAGCAAACTTTGTAAACGGTATCAATTAATTGACAATGTCGAAGTTCACCGTTCGTATTATCAAGCCCAATTTCAACGTGATAACCTTTAGTGGCGCACGTCTCACATTACCTCAACTCTGATAAAAGCTCATTAATTCATGTAAAGTCTGCACAAAGGCACAATGCGAAATATTAAATATATATTATATATATATATTAAATATATATTATATATTAAATATATATTTTATATAATTTTAGATATTTTAAATGAGTGTGAATTAATATATCTAATAAACATAGAAATATTTGATTTCGTAAATTATACTATAATAAAATAAAGAAAAAAAGTTTTAAATTTCTATCTAAAATCCAATAAATCCTCCAAAAAAAAATATAAAAAATTGTTGCATATAATGATTTTGAATATGTTTTTAACATTATATTGGAATAATTTATATATATAATTTACATATAATTTACATATATAATGAAAGTCCTATTTTTATTTTTCCGAACCAAAATATGTCACAAAAACATATTTCCCATTTTTCAAAAAATAATTTCCTACCACCCTGTTATTTATCTGGCTTCAAAATCCATACACGCATTTGGGAATCATTTATATAATAACAAATTATTTCCTATTTGTACAAAAGTATGTCACAGATGTTTAAAAGTTTTCTTGATCTTTTTTAACGTTTGACATATTTTTTTTTTCTTTCCGAAGAAAAAAAATTTTATAATCAAAAGAAATCGAGTAAATTGACGGATACAAAGATCAATATTTCAGGTAATCAAACAAACTTACTCCTTGCGGACTTAGAGACAAAGGTGAGCAACTTCCGATAATCCTGGGCGGTGGTTGACTCCTGATTGAAGCTCCTGTGCACAGGCTGATTGAGGGCCGTGAATACGGCACCCAGCGTAAAATGACACTCGGAATTGCCCTTGCTGCTGGACACCCCGTGATTGTGGTACAGCAGACCGACGATTTTCCATCCGAAACGCTGTAGGATATGTCTCAGCGCCTCGCCCACCAAACGATGAGAGCCCATCATTCTGGTTAACGTTGGATAATGCTCGTCTTTGTGACGGAACGCATCCGCCTGCGCGCCCGCCGTTAACACGGGTATGCCCCACACACCCGCGTACCTGGCCACAGGTGCGATCACATAATCGCACACGGGACCCAGGAAGGCGTCTGCCGCGGTCCGAGAAAAGAATTTCGGAAATTGATCGCTCGTTACTTCCGTCGGTTTCGCTCGGTCGGGAGGCCCATCGCGCGAAAAGTTACGAAAAGTTAACGCTTCGATCGTAAAATTTTCATATTTTACGATAATTTAACGTGCGTATATACATTTTATAAATATTTATCGCGGATAAGTGATTCATCTCTCTTGTTGTTGAGAAACTCGTCGGAAAAAGTCGCCGAAAGTTCGACACTTTGATTGAGTCAGACATGATAAAGCAATCATAGTCCTGAAAGTGGACTACGTGCTTCATAATATTATTCATAAGTCCGAACTAGAAATTACTCTATTATTTTCCAAACAATGTTTGCACATATCGCGTATACATAGCTCTGTCTATCGATGTTATATAAAATTATATTATGTGTAAAATTAAGCGTTGACCAAGCCAGAATGATAGGAAGCGTAACAAAGCGCGGCCACGTGGACGAAATAGATAACGTGAATCTGAATTTACGATGCATCCGAATATTGGCTCCGCGTTATAATCCTATCACGACCACCTGTGATTTGATACATCGATAACAAGTATATTGTTTATCGTGGAGACCTCGATTGCAAGACGCGGCGAAATACGCGGCAGGAAGGTACACATGGATCACATGGTTGATTAATGTATCGATTGGAGGTACACGTGATCGATTAAATTAACCCGGTACATTTCGCGTTCGGTCATATGGCTTACCGAGAACACAGTTCAGACCTCAACCGATTGCATAAACATCGCGTTACATCCTCCGAACGTGTTTCTAACGATTATTAACGTCGAATGTTTTCCCGCGGCTTATTTTGCGACGAGATGTACAACGCCGTTACGGAATCCGGAATGGCGAAAATCCGGGGAAAAAAGTTGTTTTTATATTGTTCGCAGCGCACGTGGAGCTTACAATTCTCTCATGCCGCGCGGCCCGTTCGCCGTGTATGCACACACACAATACGTGTTTCGAATACGCGTGCAATTAAAATCTCGTCGACTGATCCGATATATCGCGAGTCTGCGACTGATCGTACAACGTAACATGTGCAGTGTGTATACGCGCTCGCGGAGATAATAGAACGGCCGTTACCTAATTAAACAGATCGTTATTCTCCTTGTACGCAAGGAATGTATTGTGCTCGTTCTTTTGTGACATTTAGAAGAGCGACTTTATTATTTCATAAACAACGTTGCAATTAGCGGAACCGTTTACAAAAATAAAGTGGAGCGAAAAAAGATTTTTCAAACATTTACATACAAAACGCCTACATTTATTTTTCGAAATTGATGTTGTGAATGATATGAATATAGATATGAATATAGATGTTGGTACAATATTTTACTGTTGAAATTTAAATATTTACTTTTACAATAAAAACGATTCTAACTTCGTTTGCTTCATCTTTATATGTTTAAGCCACGAAGCACACTAATTCCAATTCTCAATTTCCCGAGAGTTTACCCGCAAGCAATGCATCTCCACGGATCAGCGGTTCTAATTAGCAATCACGGGTAATATTGCATCGATAGTGTTTCTCTATTGTATAAAGGCAAACATTATAGTGGAATAGCCATCAAACAACATGGCCCACATAAAGCGTATTCCCTCTGACACCTCCCAAATCTCGTGGTTTACCCAATTTGAGCCTTTCAATCTTTATCGATCGCGCTGCTTAATATGATAATAACTGCGTCAGGTTGCAAACCTGGCGTCATTGTGGTTGCAAATTCCAGCGTAAAGCGGTTACGGCCGATTAACGCGCATGCATCCCCGATGTCGCTGCGGCAGCGCGACAGAACTCGCAACCCTACGTGCGGTTACCTTTACAGAGGCAAACTGCCAAAGTTGCCGACTTTATAACACAACATTACGAGAAGTTTCCTCCGAGTAACTTATAAGCCACGGCACACGGTATATTAACTTTTGTGTATCTTTCATAATGTGTTTAACAATTTTTTATTATTTTTATTTTTTACACTTAATTTCTCAATTACTAGTTAAAGTCTCACTAAATTTTCTATAAAAAATAATTTAATTAAAAACTTAATAATTTTTCATCGATATTGCCAAGAATAAATTGATGAATTGTTAAGAAAATCTCCTTATATACTTTCTGCCAGCGCGTATATGACAAAATAAACGTAAGAAAGTATAACATAAAACATGTAAACTGCATTTTGACGTAAACCAACGTTCAATGTAAAACGCACTTTTTAAAAGCACATCCCGTTGAAACTTTCCTTTCATCGCATGAATAAAAACTCGTCCCGTGCGATTCTAAAACGTGAAAGCGTGAAAACGTGACTCGTAAATTCGGTCAAAAATTAAGCGGATGACGAAGCATTCCGGACAATGGTAAGTTATTGCACGTCATATTCCGGTGTACCGCAATATTTTCGTGTAGACATTAAGTGCATAGTTATGCACAAATAAACGGAAATTCCACGGATTTTAATGATATAAGCATGCGCTTCATACAGTTCAACGCTTAAAGACAAGATTTTAAAAGCATAATTTATTTCAGTCAAATTATAAAAATATATGTGATTTTAGAAATAATTAACTTTAAAAACAGATCAACAGTATTGTGATATAAGTCGAAAAAATGTAAATATAAATAAAACAAAAACATAATGCAGTGCAAAACGTGCATATATGTTTATGTGCAAAATAATTTTAGTATAATGTTAAAATAATTATTTTCAGTTTTTTTAAATAAAAAAAGCACCGCAACAAAACAATTAGATTTTACATCCGAGATTTTCATAAAATCTTGTTTCAAAATAAAATATATAAATGATGATATTTTCGAGTAGGTATATTACGATTCCACATGAACTATTCGATATACTATATGTGCAGATTTATCTCTCTCCGTAGGCTCTTTTGTGTTCCCCGAGTTTGGAAGGCGATTCCAAACTCGTCGAATGAAGCAACAAGTGTTATATTATACAAGGGTTGCCTCTAAGTGCGTAAATGTGCCCAAAGCGAACTCGCGTTAACCCTCGGACCAGAGGTTGCCGAAGCCTCGTTTTGTCTACGAAATTCCATTGGTTTCAGGGTAAAACTATTCTCGTCACGCGCTACCAGCTTAGAATGAAAACTCAATTTCATTATTACTTGCTCGGCGTCTACGTGAGTTTTGTTGAAAGATGATATCGCGGATTATCACCTCATAATTATTTGCAGCTACCGCAATGCGGCAGGAATTATACTTTCCTTGCAATGTAATATAAAAATAAAATTGCAAAAGTTTCTCTTATGAGTTTATACGATTCTTTATAGTTTATAAGATTTATACGATTGCGATTCTTCATTCACTCGCTGAGTAAATAATCGCTTTATTATAAGTATTACTATTGAAATTTATTTAATAGTTATTGTAATATCTGTATAATACGAATATATAATGTATTGTGTGAGAGAACATATCTTTCATCTTTAAAAATACTATAGTCACATGTGGAAAATAAAAAAGTAAAAAATTGCAAATTTTATATTGCATTAATGCATAAATAAGACTAAAAAAAATTTATAATTTATTAATTGTGAAAATTTTTCTTTGATATGCAAATATATATGTACTTTTACTTATACAAAAGCAATATAAATTTTTAGATTTATAATATACCAGCGTTTGAAATATATATTCAAGAAAAGAAAAATAAATTGAAAAGAGACAGCTCTCTTACTTTTTCAGGAAAAAAACACATCCGGACAATCAAAGAAAACGAAACACGAAGTTCCTGAAGGAAATAGTAAACCCTGAAAGAATTCGCAACGAGACTACGTTTCATCAAATACGCTGTGCCTTTTCCACGGTTGTTCCGTTTCAATTCACAATTCTTTTTCTTCACAACGAGCTCGGTAACAAAAAAATTTACATAAATATACTATTCATCAGATTTTAAATTACGACACTTTAAATTTCAACTTTTTTCAACAATGGAATTATTATGAAAGGCAGTTGTAATGTGAACGCTGTTTGATTTTACTCAAATATATTCCATTTATTTGCTTTAACCTAATTTTACTATATATTATTATTTTTATAAACGCAGTAAAATAATATCACATTTTTATTTTTTAAATTAAATAGAAAAATATAAAATTTTCGAGACATTTTGTTTTCTTCTACAAAAAATTTAATAAAAATGCTTGTATACTCTATTTGCATCTTTATTAAATCAATTTTTAAACAGAATGAAAAAATGGTATGTAATCTTCAGTGAAACATAACATATCGAAAACAATAGTGAAAAAGTTTCGCAATCTTGCATGACACAGGAAACTTTGACAGGTGCGGAAAGAAGTTCTGCTACATTTAGTTAAAGTTTCAAAGTTTGAATGGATTAAAATAGAGAACTTCTCTCTTTCTCTCTCTCTCTCTCTCTCTCTCTCAGTCTTCTTCGAGATTCTAGTCTTCACAAAAATCACGAACTAATGCATTTACATTATGAAACTAGAGTATGTGAGCTAACAAAAAAAAATTAAATTTCGAATAAAACAGAAAATATTGTACGGTTTGATAGTTTCACTGGACAGATTCTAAAAATAAAGAAAACAAATATTTCACGAATTTCAGAAAGTTCGCGCAAAAAATTTGGAAAGAAAAATATGTCAAGTGAATAAAAACGCGCTGCGATCAAATCAAACAACGCCCACACTTTATCGACTGTCTTTCATAATAAATCCATCGAACAAAAGAGTTGAAAGTCGTGATTCAAAATATGCGTTTTCATCTTCATTGATCGAACTTTCATATTTGTCGATGTAAATGAACGTGCATGCATCATACAGGAACGGTGTGTTCACCGAGGTAGGATAATGGAGCTACATAACATACAAGGTATTCGGTAATGTGCCTATTATCGACCATCATGTATAGTCATATTCTATCATACCAATCCTGAAATACGTTTAAAGCGGAAGACTATCTTCCGGACTAATAAAAATATTTTTCTTCCGATGTC